TGAAAGAACTGGGTTTGTTTAGTTTGGAAAAGAGAAGACTGAGGGGACATGATAGCATTTTTCAGGTATCTAAAAGGGTGTCACAAAAGGAGGGAGAAAACTTGTTCATCTTAGCCTCTAAGGATAGAACAAGAAGCAATGGGCTTAAACTGCAGCAAGGTAGGTTTAGGTTGGACATTAAGGAAAAGTTGCTAACTGTCAGGGTGGTTAAACACTGGAATAAATTTCCTAGGGAGGTTGTGGAATCTCCATCTCTGGAGATATTTAAGAGTAGGTTAGATAAATGTCTATCAGGGATGGTCTATACAGTATTTGGTCCTGCCATGCGGGCAGGGGACTGGACTCGATGACCTCTCAAGGTTCCTTCCAGTCCTAGAATCTGTGAAAGTCTATGAAAGTCTCTCTCACATGGCATCTGTGCATTACGGAGCCCATTCCTCTCCAATCTAACTGAGCAGGGAAGAACCTGACCAGTGTCAGACATGCAGACCGCACAGCCAGGGCCGGCTTTAGCAAGAGATGGGCCCCATTCCTGGGGGCGTGGCTTGCCGGAAGCCCCATCCCCAGGAATTGGGCTGCGCTCCGGCTGGAGGTCCAGCCGTGGTCATGAGGCTTGGGTCTGGCCTGGAGCCACTCAGCCGGGCCCGAGCCGAATCGAACTCGAGCTGGGCCAGGAGGCCGGACACGGGCCAGGACCCGAGCCGAGTTGCGGGAGCCGGGCCCGGCCCGAGCCAAGGGAGCCGAGCCAAGGGAGCTGGGCCAGAGCCGAGCCGTGGGGGCTGGGACGGAGCGTTCGGCCAGAACCGGGGCCGGCGTCTTGGGGACGGAGCTGCTGGGGCCGGAGGTACTCGGCCGGGGCCGGACTGGGCCGCGCCATGCCGCGCCTCCCCAGAGCGCTGCTCACATCCCCCTCCCAACCCCTGATTCAGCTTACCAGGTGCTGCCTGCCCGCCCCTGCTTATTTTCAGACTTTCCGCGAACCCCTGATTCACGGGAAGCAGGAGCGGGGGAGGAGCAGGGGGCGGAGCGTTCAGAGGAGGGGAGGAGGGGGAAGTGAGCTGGGGGCGGGGTGGAGAGCTGTGGCGCGGGGCCTTCATGGCACGGGGCCCAATTCAGCCGAATCGGCTGAATCGGCCTAAAGCCGGCCCTGTGCACAGCTTCTAAGAACCAAGGGGATGGGAATCCCTTACCCAGCGAGGTCACCGTCTCGTAGTTCTCCTGCATGACGTCCCTATAGAGAGCTCTCTGAGTGGGGTCCAGCAGAGCCCCCTGCCCCTGGGTGAAATACACCGCCACCTCCTCGAACGTCACCAGCACCTGAAACAACAAAGGGCCGGAGAAGCTGAATCCCTCCCCCCCCCGCACCCTACTCAGAGCACCCCGGAGGCTTCAGGGAGTAGGGAGAAGGTGGGACTTCCTTGTCCCCCAGAGCAGACGGAGGTGGGCAGGGTCTTCTCATTTCCCACCCACCTGCCAGCCACAGGCTGATATGTGAAGCAGAGCTCTGAGCCGGGGACAGGGAAAGGAACCTCGACAGCTTCCCTTCGTATTTCACAGCAGCCTCTGCCCAGAGGGATGTTTCCTGTGTCAGAAATGGGGGGAAGTTTCCCCTCCCCCCTTCCCTCCTGCCAATGGTCCTGTTCACAAAATCAGGCCCAGGTTGATCATGTTCCAGGAGGTTTATCACATCCTGTCCACTCCCTGCCTGACACTGTGTGTTTCCTGCACCTCCCCGTCTTCAACAAATCCTCCCCACCTCACCCCTGCAGTTCCCTGTAAATCCCTTACCTGAGCTGGCTCCATCACAGCCATTTCCCTTCCCTGTCTTCTGGAAGACGGGACGATCTGGAGCGAAATGTATACGATTCCTTAGCCTGTTGGGGCAAGAGGGGCAATGGGGGAGGTTATGGAAGGGGCTTGAATCCATAGCCCCCCTGCCCCTGCAGACAGAAGCTCTGGGCTCTGTCGCGCTGGGAAAATCCTCAGTTACTTTACACAGACTCGGCCCTCCCGCCAGCACTGAACACCCTGTGACAGCAGTAGGTCCCTGAAAGGGGCCCTTTGTGCAGAGTCATTTGCCTGCCCAGCTCCAACCCTTTCCCCAGGTCTCTCCATCACCTGCAGGCTGAGGCTCAGACTCAGGGGCTGGTATGGTTAAAGTGGTTCCAGCAATTGGAGAACATGCCCTTGGGCTGGTCTCAGAGGGGTGTGATGAAGCGGGAGTGTGCTTAATGTTTTCTCTGAATACTATGTGCATGCCTCAGTTTCCCCATGTGTTACTCAAGTATTGAACTGGTGGGATACAGGTGTGTGATCATTGCGGAGACCTCTAGAGGGCAGGTGTCAGTGCAGAGTGGCCGCCTGGGCACAGAGAATGGCCAAACATTCTCTATTCTGGCAAGCAATGGCTCGAGTCTGTCCTCTGCAAGGAGCCAGCCCCAGATGTTGGAGAACAAAGAGAGAGGCGGAGGCCAGGTGACCTGTTTTCCTGGGAAAGTGAGAAAGCAGGGAGGAGGGGCAGCCGGACGTCACTGAGGATGGGGGGCTGAAAGCGGGTCAGTCTCTTGTTTTGGGACTCAGCGGGGAGAGCCCAGGGCTGGATCCAGTTTCTCGATTTTCCGCAGGATGGACTTTGCTGAATGGTCCTGTTTTCTGTGCTAACAAGATCTGTTCTATGTTTTCTGTGCTAACAAGGTCCTGCCTCCCCCCACCGCCTGTACCCCATTCTTCTCCCCTGCTCGTAGTCCCAGGCAGTGGGGCTGAAACAATCTGTACCAGATGGGGGGCGTTGACAGCCATTGAACCAAACTGTAAACCCCGGATAGGATGGAAACCCCTTCAAGCCAGAGGCTGAGGCAGGGCCTCATCAGCGTTGATGCAGCACCTGTGTTTCCCCCCGGCCCTGATTGTGCCCCTGGCCCCTCTCCTTCCCCAGCCCCCAGCTGGGGCCCCCCACCCTGCATTCAGTTTGCCCCCCCTCAGATCTCCCTGAGCTGCAGCCTTCGTCGCACCAGCGGGGGCAGGGAAACAAAGCAGCAGATGGGGGTTGGGGGATGGGTGGTAACATGATCCTGCCCCGCCCCGCACACACCGGGGGCTGGCGGCAGCTTTCCTGGGCCCAGGGCAGGGAATGGATGCGGGGGTCTCTCTTACCTTCCTCCAAAGGTCTGTGAGTCACTTCCTGCTGCCGGGACTGACCCCAGTGATCGCTCCCCCCCAGAGTCGCCTCCCAGCTGCTCCTGGGTCCTAGCGATAAATCCATCACGCCGCAGCATCTCTGTGTCTGGCTCCTGTTCCACTCACAGGCTCTAAGGACAGAAGGGAGGAACCGTCTTCCATCTAGCACGGAGAATGGATGACACATTTTTATAAAATACTCTAGGTGACAGGACCTTTCTTCCCAGTGTCCCCGGAAAAGTGCAGATGGCCATGTTGTGAACTCCTTAAGGTGTAACCAGTAGAATTTTAATAGTTGAAACGGTTACTTTTTACATGCTATTTTCATCCCTAATCTGGACACCTGCCTTGTAGCTTCAGAGCCCTTAG